CAGGCGTGGTAGTGCATGCCTGTAATTCTGGTTACTCAGAAGGCTGAGGCGAAAGGATCGCCGGAGCCCAGCAGGTCGAGGCTGCGGTGGCCAGGAGGGGCCACTGCACTCCAGTCTGGGCAACAGAGTGAGACTCCAACTCAAAAAAAAAAAAAAAAAAAAAGTTTTTGTGTTATGTATGAGTGATACCAAAATAGTTTTGTTCTTTCTAAAACTGTTATTTAACATTTCCATTTGTTAGAAAAATGATAGGACAGGTCTTACTATTCTTTTAAATTTTTCATTTAATATTTGGCAAACACGGGTTCAACGTAAAGTTTCTTTCTTTTTTTTAAAGATGTGGGATACAATTAGTTTATTTCAATACTTGTCCCAAATGACTTCCTAGCTGAAAAAGAAATTGTCCAAAACTGGGAAATACTCAACCCTGGGTGCAAATGTAAAAATCATTTGCATTTAATTCATTCGATTTTAAGAATTTCACATTATTTGTAATACCGCTATAAATGGATGTCAGTTTGTAGTCTCAAAATTTATTAAAATCATACATTGTATAGCAAATAAAAAGTTCGAGGATATGAGTATATGAGCACATAGTATATCTACATTTTGATATACAAAAACTAAACCTCACAATGACAAAGACAATATTTTACTCTTACCTTGCTACAATGTATTCAAACTGCCTGTGTAAAGCAACAGGTTACACGAAGCAATTTAGACGTTAACCTTTGTATCCATTCTACCATATCTGAAGTTACTGTATCAAGTGTCAGCGCCCCAGGCTATGGCAAAGTCGCTTCCTGTTAAACTTTGTATCCATCCCGCCCTATCTGAAGTTGCTGTAACAAGTATCAGTGCACCAGCCTGCGCAAAATCACTTGGACCATGACCTTTGTATCTCACCAGCCCTGTCTGACGTTGCTGTAACTGAATATTAGTGCTCCTCACCCACAAATGGTGATAAATTTTATGACCCTAACTGCTCCCATGAGCGACTGCATAGCTCTCTCCATCACCTCTTCCCCACCCACGTTCACTGCACCTGGACGCAGCCCTTATCTTTCCCATTTCTAGAGATTTCCTAATTTGCCTCCCTACCTTCGGCCTTGAGCCTCTGGAATCCACCCTGCTCAATAGCCCGCCCCCTGGAGCCGAGGGATTTTCCTGAAATACAAAACTGCCTGTGGTGCTCGCTCGCGATTCTTTTTTGTGTTTTGTTCTGTTTTGTTTTTTTGAGTTGGAGTCTCACTCTGTCGCTCAGACTGGAGTGCAGTGGCTGCACCCGGCCACTGCAGCCTCGACCTGCTGGGCTCCGGCGATCCTTCCGCCTCAGCCTTCCAAGCAACTGGAACTACAGGCACGTGCTACCACGCCCGGCTGATTTTTTGATTTATTGTAGAGATGAGGTCTCACCAAGTTGCCCAGGTGGGTCTCAAACCCGCGGGCTCTGGCATTCCACTCACCTCAGCCTCCCAAAGGCGCGGGATTACAGATTCTTAAATGCCTCCCTCCACACGGCCCTTTCCACCCACCTACCCCTAGCCCATGCCTATATCACCCCCACCAAATCCTTCCAGCACCACACACACCAGCCTCATGGATGGCTTGCATGGTGCCCAAGTCCATCACCATCCCATGTCTTGAACATACGTCTCTCCCATTTTAAACCTACTTAAAAGAACAAAAAACCTCTGGGTCTTACTCTGTTGCCCAGGCTGGAAGGCAGTGGCACAATCATGGCTCACCGCTGCCTCAACATCCTGGGTTCAGGCAAACCTTCCACTTCAGCCTCCTGAGTAGCTGCAACTACAGGCGTGAGCCACCACGCCCTGCTAATATTTTTCATTTTTTGTAGAGACGAGGTCTTGCTATGGTGCCTAGGCTGGTCTCCAACTCCTGCACTCAAGCGATCCTCCCACTTCGACCTCCCAAAGTGCTGGGATTACAGGCGTGAGTCACTATGCCTGTCTCCGCAAGCACCATCTGAATAAAGCATGAGGCGTGCACGTGGAGTGTTTGACAGTCTTCAGCACGCGTGCCAGGTTCAAAGCCGGTGATTTGTTGCAAATCCTGTAAATCCTTTAAATCCTTGAGGGCTTGAAGTTAGCCTGTAGGTCCTTTGCATCAAATTTAACATTAGCACCAAACTACCTTTCTCCTTTCGCTGTGAGCTATTTTTAATCGCCCTATTTAACTAAACAGGCTGGAATGGATCTTTAGAGGTTTGTCTTCACACGAGCCTTTCCTGCCTCCCCAAGCAGGCCTTAAGCTGACCCTCTTCACCCCAGCACCGTATCCAAAGCAGGTGCCTGACAAATACTCGTGAATGATGCTTCCTCTCAGAAGGTGGCCTCCTCCTGGAGGAGCACAGGGCTTTTCTGCTGACCCGCTTCCTGTATGAGCTATTGAAAGGTTGCCACGTCTCCTCGCAGCCTCCAGCAGAAAGTAGTGCGGGCATCCTTCCAGCCCCCGGTGCCGCCTCCTTCCCTCTGTCCCCCCCATTCTCTCGCCATCGCCCCCTTCTGCCGAGGTTGGTCATTCCATTCAACGAACAGTCCCTGGCCTTCCGCAAGGTGCCGGGTATTGTGCTGGGTGGTGGGAAAGTGAAGAATTGAAATGACCCGTGGAAGCCGGGCTCGGTGGCTCAGCCTGTCATCCCGCGCCTTTGGGAGGCAGAGTGAGTGGATTGCCTGAGCCCGCGGGTTCGAGACCCGCCTGGGCAGCGAGACCTCATCTCTACAATGAATCAAAAAATCAGCCGGGCGTGGTAGCACGCGCCTGTAATTCCGGCTACTCGGAAGGCTGAGGCGGGAGGATCGCCGGAGCCCAGCGGGTCGAGGCTGCGGTGGCCGGGAGCGGCCATTGCACTCCAGTCTGGGCGACAGAGTGAGACTCCGACTCAAAAAAAAAAAAGAAAGAAAGAAATGACCCATGGTCACTGCCCTGAGTTTTCTCCACTGACCTCATCCTATTTCTTTCTCTTTTTTTTTTCTCCTCTTGAGTCAGAGTCTCACTCTGTCACTCAGGCTGGAGTGCGGGGACGTGCTCGTGGCCACCGCCACCTGGACCTGCAGGGCTCAGGCAATCTTTCCGCCTCAGTCTCCCGAGTAGCTGGAACCACAGGTGCGCACCCCCACGCCCGACTGTTTTTTTTGGATTTATTGCAGTGATGAGGTCTCACCAAGCTGCCCGGGCTGGTCTTGAACCCGTGGGCTCAGGCAATCCTCTCATCTCGGCCTCCCACAGTGCTGGGATGACAGGCATGAGTGGCCACGCCCGGCCCTCATCACATGTCATTTTCCAAGTGCATGTGGCGCTTGATCTCTCAGCTGCCACTAGATGGCTCTCTCCATCACCTCTTCCCCACCCGCGTTCTCTGTACCCAGACGCAGTCCTTATCGATAGTTCCCATTTCTAGAGATTTCCTGATTTGCCTCCCTGCCTTTGGCCTCTTATCCCCCCAGAACCCAGACACCCGGATCGGGGACTCCCTGCAACTGACAACACCCCATGACTCAAACATTCCCAAGGACAGCTTTGGCCTTCTGGTTCCTTGCGTATCCGCCCCAACACGGGGGGCGTGACAGACCATGACACCGTCACTGTCACCCAACGAGCTCTGGGAGCCCACCCATGAGCTCAAGCTAACAGGCATCCTTTATTCACTTATTAATTCACCCATGCCTCCCGTTCGGACGGTTCACCTGTGTCTCCTGTCCTCCAGACACACGGGAACCCCAGACGTGGCCACATAGAGAGAGGCCAGAAGGGCGCAAGCCTGCGCCCCCGCCTGGGGGAGCTCCCAGGCCTCCACCCCAGCCTGACCGCCCCTCTGTCCAAGGCCGACTCCACCCCAGGGCAACATCCTCTCCTGTTACCCTCCCAGCCTCCAAATGTCCCTTCTCCTCCTGGTGTTCTTCCCCCAAACACTGACCTTCCTGTCGACACAGTCCGTCGAACCCCAAAACCCTTGCTTCACTCAAGCTCACACGCAACCTTCAGTCACTCATTAATTCAGCAAAGACTTGAGTTCCTTTGATGTATCAGATCTTCTAACGGGATGTCAGGGGTACAGCCATGAAGGAGACAGAGAAACAAAGGAGCTAAACCACACACAAAATCGGACAGATAATGACAGAAGGCGTTCCGTGGTGCTCAGCGCTCTGACGGAAACCGAGGGCCTGGGAGAGCGGGTAGGGGTCGGCGTGAAGGGGATGGCTTAGAAAAGGCCCTGGAGAGACAGCAGTGTGGGCAGAAACCTGGCAAAAGCAGAGGAACAAGCCAGGCAGAGAAACAGAAAGAGGTCACAGCAGCACACAGACCCTGGGGTGAGGACACGCCTGGAGCATCTGGGGACAGTGAGGAGAGCCATGTGACTAAAGCAGAGAAGCCCGGGTAGAGAGGGAGAAAATGAGAGCAGGGGAGAATGCGGATCAGATCAGGGTCGCTCTGGGGTCGTTGGCTCCAACCCCGAGTGACGCGAGAAGCCCCTGGGGGGGTGGACAGAAGAGGGACATAATCTCGCTTGCATTTGTTAAGGATAATTCTGGCCTGGGTGCAGTGGCTCACACTTGTCATCCCAGCACTTTAGAAGGCCTAAGTGAGAGAATTGTCTGAGTCCAGGGGTTCAAGACCAGCCTAGGCAATGTGGCGAGACCTCATCTCTACCATAAATTAAGAAAAATGAGCCAGGCATGGTAGCCCGTGCCTGTAGTCCCAACTATTGGAAAGCTGGGGTGGAAGGATCACCGGGGCCCAGCAGGTCGACGCTGGGGGGGCCACGAGCGTGTCATGGCACTCCGGCCTGGGAGACAGAATGAGACTCCAACTTAAAAAAAAGATAATTCTGGCTGCTGTGCTAAGCAAAGATGGAAAAAGAGCAAGGGCGAAGGCAGGAAGGCTGAATAAGGAGTGATTCCAGGTAAGATGACGGTGCAGTGGTGAGAAGCTGTTGGACTCTGGTATTTCAGAGAGGTGCATCCGCCAGGATCTGATTATGGGAGGGACATGGGATGGGAAAGGGAGGAGCCAGGGATGACTGCAAAATGTTTACTGAGAAGAGGAGTTCATGAGAATGACACACAAAGAAAGAGCACAATCTTTTTTTTTTTTTTTTTTTTTTTGGGTCTTAGTCTCACGCTGTCTTCCAGGCTGCAGTGCAGTGGCATGTTCACGGCCACGGCAGCCTCAACCTCCTGGGCTCAGGAGATCTTTCCACCTCAGCCTTCCAAGTAGGAGGAACCACAGGCATGAGTCACCATGCTCTGCTAGTTTTTTGATGTATTGTAGAGATGAGGTCTCATCAAGTTGCCCAGGCTGGTCTCGAACCCCTGGACTCAGGCAATTCTCTGAACTCGGCTTCCCAAAGTGCTGGGATTAGAGGCTTGAGCCACCATGCCCGACCTGAGCACAATCTTCTTAAGCATGTTCATCACCATGGGTGGCCCTGAGACCTGTCCGGGCCCCCAGAGAGCCTGGGCTGATTCCTTTCAGGTGCTGACATAGTCCAGACATCTCCAGACTCTGAAGAAGTCATCTGCAGTACCTGAGAATCTCCATAGCTCCTCTCATGCACTTGGTTTCTAAATTTCCTTCTTAAACACCTTCCATAATTTCCAGATTGATTAAATACAGTAGACGATGAATTAAAAGTTCATGCTTCAATTAAAACGGATGTTATTTTACTTAACCTGTGGTTTCACCTCTTTACAGTTTTTTTTTTTTTTTTTGAGTTGGAGTCTCACTCTGTCACCCAGACTGGAGTGCAGTGGCCGCTCCCGGCCACCACAGCCTCGACCTGCTGGGCTCCGGTAATCCTTCCACCTCAGCCTTCCAGGTAGCCAGAATTACAGGTGTGCACTATCACACCCGGCTAATTTTTTGATTTATTGTAGAGACGAGGTCTCGCCAAACTGCCCGGGCGGGTCTCGAACCCGCGGGTTCAGGCAATCCATTCACCTCAGCCTCCCAAAGTGTGGGATTACAGGCTGAGCCACCAAGCCCAGCTCTCTTTCCAGCTCTAATAAACATGAATATCCATACATTTCCAAGTGGAATGAGGATTAAATGAATATGACTTACCAGTTCTTCCACGGTGGCAGGACCTTTTGATCTCAGGCGAAGTGTTCCCCGTTCACTACCAATTTTTCCAGCTGATGACCTCCCAGTCTTTGGCCTGGGCTCTATTTCTATAAACACACAATAAATGAGGAAGGGTACATGTATTCAGAAAAGATATCCCAACCGATTGCGGTGAACATTAGCGCACTTTATATTTGCCACAAAACTGCATACAATTATTGTAGAGATTGGACAAGAGGCATGCTTTCTTATGGAACTTCCAAAACAAGACAAATTCACCTGCCGCCCATTATTCTCACATGATCGTCTGCATGAAACAGTTCTGGCTATAAAAAGAAGAGGGATCATGTGGAATGTACAGACAGGAAGGACTCGAAGTTATAAGAAAGAAAAAAACAAAACAGTTGGTTTTATTATAAGAGTAAAGAGGCCGGGTATGGTGGCTCACACCTGGAATCCCAACACTTTGGGAGGCTGATGTGAGAGGATTGCCTGAGCCCAGGAGTTCAAGACCAGCCAGGAAAACACAGTGAGACCTCATCTCTACAAAAATTTAAAAATTAGCCAGGCGTGGTGACACATGCTTGTGGTTCCAGCTACTTGGGAGGCTGAGGTGGAAGGATCACCCGAGCCCAGCAGGTCGAGGCTGTGGTGAGATGTGATGGAGCCAAACTGCACTCCAGCCTGGGCAACAGAGTGAGACCCCGACTCAAAAAGAAGAAGAGTAAAGAGGGATACGTGTCAGGAAAGCAACACTGGAAGTTCAGCTGGGCTTCATCAAGGTGACAAAGAAGGAAAAGAACCACGTCTTGAGAGCAGAGAGAGACAGAGGCACAATCACTCAGGGACCCACCCTCGCTTGGGGCTTTATGGACCCAACTCCGTCCAACACTCACACCAACCTGTGGGGCACACGATGACCCTCATTTCACAGATAAGGGGATCGAACTCAGGGAGCCGCGGGGCTGGGATTCAGAACCAGGTCCCGTGGACACAGAGGAGATTCCAAAGGCCCTCCGCTTTCCTCAGCAACACCGCGGCCTCGCCCCTCTTGGAAGCGCCGGGGATTCGATCAGGAGTGGGGCCCCAGAGAGAAAGGGCCTGGGTGCAGAACCCCAGGAAGGAACTCCCCGCAGACAGCAGGGACGCCCAAGGGAGCAAGGGTCCCGGAAGCTTCCCTTTCCTGTGCCTGTTTTTCTGTCATGTCTTCTCTTCTCTTTGCAAAGCACCAAGAGTCCCTGGGCCCACACCAAGCAGTGACACAAACGAGTGAAAGAGACAGGAGGAGCTGGAACTAACTGGAAGGGTGAGCACTGTCTAGACCACACAATAACGTACTGCCCTGTGGGAATGCAGGCCTTGCAGGGTCAGACATTGCACTTTGTGGCAAAGAAACTGGATACCCAAGTTTCATATGAATCTCTTGATTTTTAAGTTTTTTAAGTTTAGGCAATTAAGTCAAACTTTGGTTTTTTTTTTGAGTCAGAGTCTCTGTTGCCCAGGCAGGAGTGCAGGGGCATGCTCACGGCCACCGCAGCCTCGACCTGCTGGGTTTAGGAGATCCTCTCACCTCAGCCTTCCAAGTAGCTGGAACCACAGGCGTGCGCCACCACACCTGGTTAACTTTTATTGATTTATTGTATGTAGAGATGCGGTTCCACCAAGTTGCCCAGGCTCATCTCGAACCCCTGGGCTCAGGCAATCCTTTTGCCTCCACTTCCCAAAGTGCTGGTATTACAGGTGTGAGCCATTGCACCTGGTCGAACAGTCTGTTTGTTTGGTTTGTTTTGTTTTGTTTTTGAGTTGGAGTCTCACTCTGTCGCCCAGACTGGAGTGTAGTGGCCACTCCCGGCCACCGCAGCCTCCA